CATCAACAACAACTTTATCATCACCATCACCATCACCATCACACTCACCATCACCCTTATTCTCTCCACCATCATCATCATCATCAGCAGCATCAGAATCGTCATCATCGTCAGCATAATCATCCTCGTCGTCATCACCACCATCAGCAGCTGCAACATCCTCATCGATAGTCATAAGCATCATCGGCATCATCAGCATCAACAGCATCATCATCATCATCCTCATCATCATCATCAGCATCATCATCATCATCATCATCATCGTCCTCCTCCTCCCCATCCCCATCCTCATCCCCATCTCCATTCTCATTCCCATCCTCACCCTCACCCTCCCCCATCCTCTCCCCCACACCTCCCTCTCCTCCTCCTCCTCCTCCTCCTCCTCCTCCAAGCTTTCTCTTTACACGGAACATTTCCCTGCCGCATCCTCGAACGCGTCTGTGGGGCGGGCCGGGCGTTTCGCCCGAGACGTCACCACTACGGGTGGTCCCGAAGCCTGAAAGCTGCACGAGGTCCACGGATGAAGCACGGGTCGTCTTCAGAGTGTGGCTAGAGCCTTGGCGCGCGCCGCGCACATCCGCTGTTAAACGTGTGCAACAGCTTCAAGGATGGAGGGCGGGTCTCTTTCAATACGTGGTTCTCGCCTCCGTGCCGCGCGCATGCGTCTTAAAACGTTGGCAACCGTTTGACGAATGGAGGGCAGGCGGTTCTCGAAAGATGAGGCTCTCGCCTAAGCGCCGTACACATGCGTCGCAAAGGCTTGCCACGGTTTCAAAGTTGACAAGCTATTTTTTGTATATGGTTTTCGCCTTAGCGCCGCGCACGCTCGTTTCGAAAGCTTGCAGTAGTGTCAAGGATTCGCACTGCAACATTCCAGGTTGTCAAGCCGCTACGGTCACGTTGGTTCGCGGTGTTGAACTCCCAGGAACTGTCCTGGCACGATTGAATTTTGTCAGGGCGCAACAAAACACATTGATTCGCGAAGCTGAATGACATGTTTTCTGGCACGATTGCAGATTCTCAGACGCTTGTCTTCCAGTGGGGGATTTCCCGCAATGAAAACAAACAACTTGGAGAAAGGGCTCATGACCAGCATCGTCGACGCGCCCTGGGTTTACTCTGGTCCTTTTCGAGCCTTTCGAGCGCGGCCCAATGTCGCTCACGCGACGCGGCCGATGCCTCGGCGGCGTTGTGCCGCGGAGGCTGCGGACTTTGCCGCACGGTGAGCGCAGCCCGAGACTGGTCCTCCTCCTCCTCCTCCTCCTCCTCCTCCTCCTCCTCCTCCGTCACGGTTCAGCCCTCCCTGTCGCACCACCAGGCGTGTCGTTAGGGCGGGCTGGGCTGTTCACCTGAGGCGTCCTCGCATCTCGTCATATCGGAATCAGGGAGCACATATCTCGGGAGCGGCCAAGAGGGGGGTGTCCAAGAGGGGGGGGTGCAAATCATGACCGGTGGCATGTGCGCGGCCCAGCGGGGGGGCCAGGGACGTAATGAAATAAGAAGAGGCGCCATAAAATCTGGGGACATATCATGGCCCCCGCCATGATATCCCCCCCCCCCCCTAGTTATCACCCCCCTCTTTTCCGCCCCCGAATATCGTTCTCAAAATGATGCTGTCACTTTGACCGGCCACTCTCGTTTTAAATACCCAGCATTTACACGGATGGCGGGCAGGTGGTTTTCAAAACGAGGCTCTCGCCTTGGCGCCGCGCACACTTATCTTAATTAGCCTGGCGAGGGGCCCAACCCTTAGCAGATTCATGTAACGTTGGTGACGATCCTCTCTATGCACGGCCCATATGGGCATATGCCGAACGGGGTGGGAGGGAGGGAACTCATGCGAACTTTCCAACTGGCGCGGTATGTAAAGCTCCCTAACGGGCGCGAAACCTGTGAGCATATGCCGAAACGCGCGGGAAAATGCATGCAGACTTTCCGAGTGAAGCCGTACGCGGGGCTCGCGTGTGGAGTGTGCCGACATGGGCGGAGATGCGCGTGCAAACTTTCCCGCTGAGACCGCAAGTGTAAAACCCTATGGGGCGACGATCCTCCTGAGAGGTGTGCCGAAATTGGCGGCGTCGTCACGCGGACCCTTCACCTGGGGTCGCAGGTCGAGCTCCATATGGGGTCACGATCCTCGTGAAGGGTGTGCCGAAGTGAGTGGCGCCGCCATGCGGACCCTGCCACTGGGGCCGTGGGTGGACTTCCCAACGGCGCCACGAAGCATGTGGAGGGCGCTTTCGTATGCACAGGGCAACACCATGCTCCCTTATGTTGTGAAACTACTCCACGAAGAGTGCTTGCACCTAGGGGTTCTTACTTGTTCGCCTCAGGAGATGGATGGGTTACCTGAGGATGTTTGGTGGTGCCCGCCCCGTGGTCGCCCCGTGGCCGCCCGTGGCCACCCAACGTAGCTTGCGTCACATATTTTGCACCGCTAGCTTACACCGCACAGCGTGCACCGCGCAGATGGCACCAAGGAACCTGCACCACACAGCTCGGATCGTGCAGCTGGCCCCTCCCAGCTTGCACCACGTCCCTGACACCATGCAGCTTGCACTGCGCGGATTGCACCACATAGCTTACACCACACAGCCTGCACCACATAGCTTTCGCCTCCACGGTGCAGCAACTCACGTCGTACCGAGGAATTGGCTGGGCGGATCGAGGCATCTGCACGGTGCCGCCCGTGGCCGCCGCGTGGCCACCTCGTGCGCTGGGCGGGTCTGGCGAGGCTTCGCCGTGCCTGCCGCCCGTGGCCGCGGCGTGGCCGCCCCGCGGCCGCGCTGCCTCGCTTCTGCTGGGCGGGTCTGGCGAGGATTTTCGCCACGCTGCCGCCCGTGGCCGCCTCCACCTTGCGCCACGTATACCGCTCCGCACATCGAGGTTTCGCCGCGTCGCCGCCCGTGGCCGCCCCGTGGCCGCCGCCGCCTCGTGGCTCGCACAACAGACCTTGCGCCGCACAGCTTCCGCAACACAGCTTGCACCACACGGCTTGCACAGCAGACATTTCCCACCATAGCTCACGCCACACAGCTGGCACCGCGCCGTGTTCACCACCTTGCTTACACTTGCTCAGCTAACGCCACATAACCTAAACTCTATAGCTTGCACAACATGGCGCACACCATATACCTCATACCACATGGCTTACTCAACAATGCTCAAACCCCAGAGCTTAAGCAACTCAGATCACACCATACGTTTTACACCACGTATACTACGCAACACAGCTTACCACATCGATTGCTTTCTAAGCAAATATCTGTGATATGTTTCTCTTAACAAAAAACTATGCAACTGCCCACTGTTGTCACTGTTCGGGGCCCATGCTGGCTAACATGTTGCGCAGGGCCTTCTGCCGCCAGGGTGTATGTCAAAACGCGGACTCCATAGCATTTCCCCACGGGGGGCAACTGCTCATCCCGAACAGCGACAGCCCCAGGAGTGTGAACGTGGCGAGAAACCTTCCTGCGTACTTTTGTCACGATACACTCTGGTTTGGGCCCCTCGGGCCTCGAACCTCTGATCCTCGAACCTCGAACCCCTCCCTCGAACCTCGACACTCGCCCTCCATTCCTCCAATCCTCGACCCTCGAACCTCCTACGCCAGACCACTTCCTCCAATCTTCCTCCCGCTCCGCCGCGCGACGCTTCCGGCGGGCCCCAACCCCGGCCGCGGCGCAGTAGTGACACCGGCCTCGGGGAGGGCAGCCGTGCCAGGGGTCGGGGTGTGCGACCGGCCGTCTCTCGGGCATGGCCGAGCACGGGCCGCGAGCGAGATCGAGGCAGGGACGGAGATGTCCTCGTCCTCCTCCTCCTCCTCCTCCTCCTCCTCCTCCTCCTCCTCCTCTTCCTCCTCCTCCTCCTCCTCGTCCTCCTCCTCTTCCTCCTCCTCCTCTTCTTCTTCGTCTTCTAATTAGTATTATTATTACTAGTATTATTATTAGTATTATTATTAATATTATTATTCATATTATTATTATTATTAACATTATTATTATTATTATTATTAATATTATTATTATTATTATCATTATTATTATTAGTAGTAGTAGTAGTAATATTAGTAGTATTATTATTATCATTATTATTATTAGTAGTAGTAGTATTGCTAGTAGTAGTAGTAGTAGTAGTAGTAGTAGTAGTAGTAGTAGTAGTAGTAGTAGTAGTAGTAGTAGTAGTAGTAGTAGTAGTAGTGTTATCAGTATTCGTCTTATTCGTCTTCTTCTTATTCTTCTTGTTCTTCTTATTCGTTTTCTTCTTCTTCTTATTCCTCCTCCTCCTCCTCCTCCTCCGTCCTCCTCCTCCTCCTCCTCCTCCTCCTCCTCCTCCTCCTCCTCCTCCTCCTCCTCCTCATCCTCCCGCTATTTTCCCGCCATTTCGCGCGCCATTGGGGTCAAGCCCCGTAGCGCCCCGCGGCGGCCGACGGCCGCCAGCTCTTTCCAGCTGCTGGCCGCCGGACGCCCATTGTCTTTTTTGCCTTTCCAGCTGCTGGCCGCTGGGTGCCCTGGCTTTCCAGCTGCTGGCCGCTGGACGCTCATTCGTCTTTTGCATGGGGCGCCGTCTTCTTCCAGCGCTCCTGCCTCCGACTGGCGGCGGCGCTGTCCTGCTTGTCACGCGGGCGACTGGCAGCAACCCTTCGGCGCCTGTGCGCTGCTGCTGCCAGCCGAGGAGCAAGGCCGCTCTGTGAGTGCCCGCTGGATGGCTGGTGCGGCTAAGGCTTCTATCCACCTTTCTCGCACGCCTGAGGAGGCCTCACATGCGTCGGCCCGGGCCTCCTCTCCTTCTTCGATTCATCTGCGTGTTCTCCTGTACGTGCTCCGTGAGCAGGCCAGACGGCTGTGGTTGTCCACCTTTCGCGTCTGGCCTTCTGCTTCCTCTGATGGGTGCTCGTGCGGATGTGGCGCCTCGCCACCTTTCTCGCACGCAGCCTTCCAGGTTCTTCGCTGCTGTCATCGTCAGTCTGGCTGGTCGAAAGTGGGGTGGGTCGTTTCTTCCAGCGTTCCTGCCTCCTGGCTGGAGGCGGCGCTGTCCTGCTTGTCACGCAGAAGACTGGCAGCAACCCTTCGGCGCCTGTGCGCTGTTGCTGCCCACCTAGGAGCGTGGCCGCTCCGTGATCGCTCTCGTTCTCCTTTCCCTCCCCCTCCTCCTTTTCATCATACTCCTCTTCCTTTTCCTCCTCCTCCCCCTCCCCCTCCTCCTCCTCCTCCTCCTCCTCCTCCTCCTCCTCCTTTTATTCCTCCTCCTCCCCTTTTTCCGCCTCCTCCTCCTCTCCGTCACCCATCCGTCTCACCTTTGCTGCGATCCCTCTTCGGAAAACTTGTGCCCACCCGGGCATTGTTGCAGCCGCTCTCGTTTCGCCCGATTTCGCCTCGTCCGCTCAACCTTTTCTCGTTTATCCGTTGTTATATTGTCCGCCGTTTGTTTTGTCAATGCGTTGTCTCGTCCGTCGTTATGTCATATTTCCATGGTTCGTCCGCCTTTTGTTTCGTTAGCTTTTGTGTCATCAGTTTTCCTTTTGTCGTCGCTCGCATCGCGCGCCATCGTGTTTGATTGCAGTGGGTCGGGACAGGCGGGACATGGCGAATTGAAGCGGGGCGAATGAAAACTGGTGGTTAAACCAAGCAGCTCCAAACCAGGCGAATTGAAACCAGGCGAACGCACATCGGGCGTGTTAAAACCCTACGGATTTAAAGCTGGTCGCGATAAAGCAGCACAAGTTCAAACCAAGTGATTTCAACGCAGGTAAAAGCTCCACGCGCAAATTTAAACCGGGCAGATTTAAACCAGGCGATGTACAATCGAGCGAAACGAACCCACACGGCAATCGGCTTGAGGTTCACGCGCGCGACTCGAAACCCTCCGCCCTCGGAGCAAGAAGAACGGCAGAAATCTCCCGCCGCCGATCGCCCGGCACAGCCGACGCCGGGCTCGAGGCGAGCAGCGCGGACCGCCCCCTTGGAAGAAACGCCTCTGCTGGAACGCAGAGCAGGGCGGGGCGCGCGAGCCGCCGCGGCCTGCGGCGCCCCGCCCAGCGCGCCCGCGGAACCCCAACGCCGGAGCAGAGGATGGCCGTTCGGCCCGAGGGGGGGCCCGCCATCGCGCAGGGGGGGCCTCTGGCCCCGCGCTCCGAGGAAAGGGCGACGCCGAGACGAAGCCCCCTCGGCGAACCGCGCCATTCGGCCCGCGGCCCCGCGCGCCCACCGCGCAAGGCGCGGGCGGCGACGGAGCCGGCCCCGAGGGGGCTCCTCCTCCTCCTCCTCCGCCTCCTCCTCCTCCTCCTCCTCCTCCTCCTCCTCCTCCTCCTCCTCCTCCTCCTCCTCCTCCCTCCTCCTCCTCCTCCTCCTCCTCCTCCTCCTCCTCCTCCTCCTCCTCCTCGTCCTCCTCCTGGCGGGGCCGAGAGGCGCACCAACGCGCGGGGGAGATCAAGACAGGAAAGCGAAGTCGCGCAGCAGCAGGCGACTCGGAGGGCAGCGGCAATGACGGAGCGCCTCGGAAAGCGGCCGCGAAGCGGGCCCGCGCACGGGGCGAGAACGCTGGAGATTCACGCGGTCTCCCGTCGGGCACTGGCCCCGACCTCGCCCGGATCCTCGCGAGCGGCCCTGGAGCAACAGGTCGCGCACCTTCCCCCGCGCCAACTGCCCGAGGCCACGGCCGCGCCGCGCGCCACGGGCTGCGCCGCGCGCCTTGCGCCGAAGCCCCCGCGGCGCACAGGCCGCTGGAGCGGTCGCGCCCCCGGGCGCCTCGCGAGCCCGAAGACAGAGGTGCAAACGCAAGGCGCAGCAGCGACGAAAGAGGACGGCCGGCCACAATGACGCGCGCAGCCCGCCCGGCCCGCGCAGCCGCGGCAGGGCGAGCCGGGGGCAGAACTAAGAGTGGGCGGGCGGAACGCCCACGGGAAGATACACATCACCGCTGAAAGCACAGCGAGAACCCACCAGCGCCAGGCGGGCCGACATCCCCAGGCAGGGTCGCCGCGCCCCCGCTGCCCCCGGCCCGCTGCCCCCGGGGCAGTTTCCCGACGCAGGGAGGCCAAACACGCGCGGGCGGCGACGAAGAATGGGGCAATCTGGACGGGCCGACCCGCTGCCTTTTGAGGAAAAGCAATTCTCGCATGTGTCGGGGGGCAAGCGCCCGGGCGCCAAGGACTTCCAGAAATCTCCGGCGGCGCTCGGATAACTGGGGCCCGGGCGCGCTGGCCCCTCGGAAGGGCTGCGCGAGGCAACGTGGATCGCGCAGGCGCCGCTCGGCGACGGCGCCCGCGGGCGGGGGCGAGACATCAGCATCAGGGCGCGACGCACCTCGAGCTCGTCGGGGGCCAACGACGGGGCTGGGCAACGGCGGAGCAATCAGTGGACGCGGGCGACAGAGGAGGCGACGGCGCGGAGGCGGAGAGGGGACAGGCTAACACGGGGAGGGAGAGAGAGAGAGAGAGAGACAGAGACAGAGACAGAGACAGAGACAGAGACAAGGACAGAGACAGTCCCACAGACAGAC